AAATACAGTAGGGAACCGATTATCCGGAACGATCGGGACCATCGCTATTCCGGATAACTGATTTTTCCGGTTTTCTGAATCTCTACAAAAAGCAGTTTTTTTTTATTGTTAAACTCAACTAAAAAAAAGAAAATATTTGGAAATAATCTTAAAAAGAAGAAAAAAACGATTAAGTAATACTCTAATGATTATTCCCAAAATGATGGCAAGGTAAACAAACATCTTTAAAAAAAAGAACGGAAAATCCTGAAATCTTAGGAGGAAAAACGAATTTTTTTCAAAAAAATGGCTGGAAAATTTATCGAATTTCGTTCCGGTTTTTTGATCTTCCGGTTTTCTGATTTCCGGATAACGGGTTCTGTACTGTACTAATAAAAGAGATATTTCATTCAAATGAAATATATCACACCCATTAATTAAAAATTACAAGATTATTAGGCATAGACAGCCCATTAAATTTTCTCCATGAATTTATGCTTCAAACAAATCAAAAATATATTACATATTTAAAACATGTTGGAAGAACCATGTATAATTTGAACATTCTGAAACAATAAAAATTTCCGCATTAAAAAATATTTAATAGAAAGAAAAAGTTTTTATGAAAAAAATTTTAAACCATAAAAAAGTTTTTAAACCATATAGAAAAATTATTACAGTTAAAATTTATTATATGTTTAAAACTACATTAAATAACTACTTACTACAATCATACACTAGAAATAGTCCAGGAAACTATTTTGTTAAAAAATAAATATATCATAAGATAAATTAACAATTCTAAAAAATAATAATTCTGTTAAATTATAAATAAAGCATGTAAATTTTTTAATGAAAGATGTCTTTCTGTTAAGCAATAATATTAAAAAAAATTTTTAAGTTTTTGAAAAATTTTTGGGGAGATGTATGTGTTCCCAAAGGCTCCCTCTTTCAATGCTGTGTCCTTATATTCATAACTATATAGAGAAAGTCATACAACAGTTAGAAGAAAGAAAAACCATATTAATTTCCTGTAACATTATATTTATATTACCTTAACTTATAAATAACTTAATAAAAAATATTACCTTAATAGAANATTTATTTACAATCTCGAAATGGAAACTATTGATAAACTTAAAGCAAAACGAAAGATTGCTAGAACTAATTGTACTAAGTTAATTACGAAAATTGACACATATTAATTGTCATATTAAAGCACATATTAATTGTTTTCTTACTGACCAGGGCATCAAATGGTAGAGATATACGCATATCCCGAAACTCGAAATAGATTTTCTATCAGACATAGCAGTAAGCCATATTTTTTGAATGACGGAATTTTCCCATCTAATAGTTCCATAGCATTGATTTTAAAACGTTTTTTTATAAGTTTTTGGAATTTCCACTAGATAATATTACAGTACACCAAAACATCTTATTGCTTAGATGAAATTTGTGTTTTGAACCCAAAGATGTAAAATCCACAAACTTGATCAAGGTATATTGAAATCAATTTAAACAAGAGGAAATGTTATATAAAACATAAACTGTGAATTTCTAATCACAAAATGAAAGTATATAAAATTAAAAGTAAGCCAATAGTATTATTTACTAATAATTTTAAAGGCTGTCAAGTTTATTGCCTGCAATTTTGATTTTTCAAATAATTTTTGTTTTATAAGTCTCAGTTTTCATTTTGAGAAGTTTTTAGAGCTGCTACATAGCATTTAGAAATCGAAACACACTGAATATTGTTATTACAGAGTGCCTTGAGAATAATAATAGATTTCTGCCTAATATTCAGTTTTTTCTTTCAAAACAGTACATATAAAATTATCTATTCTTTGTGCAATTGTTTAAATTCACTATAATAATAATAATAACAATGCATGAATCAGAAGCAGAACTTGCAAGTTTTTAATGCATGGTGGTTTTTATCAGCTTTTACTATGGTTTTTATTGTCATGACCAAAAACATCTTTGCCAAAAACACATATCTTAATTTTATTTTAACTAATTAAAGTTTAAATAAAAAGTATCACAAAACTTCACCCCTGTTGTGTTAAAAACCACGTTTTGACTTCAAAAACACAAATCTAATCAGAAAATAATAATAGAACTTCTTTGATTTTAATGCTAATGCATGTTAAAATTGTGTTCAGTTACAGTAATATACAATTAACACAAAATTAACTAATACAATTATTTATTAAAGTAACTCACTTTTCGGTTCATTTCCAATAAACCACATTCAGAAAGAGAAAATCTTTGAGTAAAGGAGGGCATGACGAAAACATTTTGAGACACATGGTAAGTGAATAAAGGAATATGACATACATTAGCTGTGAAATTCTGCAAAAAGAAAAACAATACAATGATTAAGATATTGCATTTTTACAACAATATGTTGACAAAAAAATATCAATCATTTAATGTAGTTAGCATAGGTCACACAAGTAGCTATAAATTATACTTTACACACATCCAGCAAAAAAAAACTAATGAAACATAACCTTTAATTAAATAAACACTTTAATTCTTATGAACTAAGGTAGTGGTTCCTAATTTTTTTTGGCTACAGAACTCTAAATGATGAATCTTTCTTTCGCAGAATCTCTTTCGCAGAAACTACACCATTTTAACCATACTAATTCTTTTAGCACTGATTTTCACTCCATTCTAGATATGCAGACACTTAAAGATATTTAAAAAAATTATAATTAAATTTTAATTAAAAATTTATAAATTCAAAAAAAGTTAAGCACACACATACCACATTATCGGTCCAGCGTAAAAGATAATTTTCAATACCAATGAAGCTTTGTTCGGTTTCATCGGTTATCCCACCATGAAGTTTTGCTGGCAGAGGAGTAATGATGACACAATGTTTGAATTTATTCGCTCTGATAATGACTATTAAAGTTCTCCAGTTTTCACCAGTTAATGGTGACATAATTATGAACACAGCCTTTCTTACTTTAGAATCAGCTATCTGCAAAGAGTTTTTAAATAAATTTTAGTGAAATCTATAAGCAATCCTAAACTAATAACAATCAAAAACTTATAGCAGGCATACTTAGTTAATAAGAAAATATTTATGTAAATAATAGTAGATAATTTCTATTTTAAAAGAAATTTGTTTTTATGAGTTTTATAATTTTTGTTTATAAAGAAACAATAATATTAACATTCTAATAGTCAGTGTTAATTTTTATTTTTCATAAAAATAAAAGCATATTAAGGATTCTATTTGATATAAAAGCTCATATAGAAACATTTTATGTAAATTAAGTTACCATCTGAAATTTTTATGAATCATATTTGAATTTATAAATTTATAAGAAAAAAAACATATTTTATACATGTTTTAATAATTTATTTGAAAACAAACACATATTACTAATTGCATACTGTAAAAATATTTTTCCTCTGAATTTGTTTATTAAAACTTCCTTTACTCTTTGGTTAAAAATGTTAGTGATTGTAGTAGGGATATTGCAGCATTTGAATCTGTTTATGCCAACTACCAACCAAGGCCCCAACAATTTTTTGAATTGACAAAATTTAAGATATATATATGTATGTATAATGATTTATATAGAGGTGGCCTTCAGGTTGGTCCCGTACCGTGATGTATTTTTTAATTTAACTGTCTGGTTATCACAAAAATTTGGCAACTTTTTAGGCGTACATAATCCTCTCAATATAGTTTGTGCATCAATTTATTACATGTAGAGATTTGCTTATAAAATTGAAGTTGAAGGATTATTTACGTTTTTAAAAATTAAACTCAGACAAATAGGTTTTTTTTTAGAATATACATAAATTTAACTTATTAAAATAAAAAATCAAATTTCAAATTCCACTTTTCAGAAGTTAGAATCTTAGAAAAAAATATTTTATGAATTGATATAAACCCTTAGCAGAGAAGAGAGGTAGGCACAATGGGCTATTGGCGACGGTCTGGGAAACATCCCATAGGATGATCCGAAGACATGCCATTGTAATTTTGATCCTCTGCATAAGCGATGGCTCCTCTGCTTTTGTAGCCCGATGACCTGAGGGAAGTTGAGCACTTTATGGTAGAATAGTTTAATGAGGACCGATACCGCACACCCTCAGTCCCTATCCAGGCTGATTAAAGTGGTCACCCCCTGCTTACTAACCGCAGCCAGTGATGCTTGACTTCGGTGTTCTATTTAGCTGAGAAAGTTTCCCTTATAGTACATGCCCCAAAATCGGGAACTCATAAGTAATAATAAAATGAAAAAAACATGAGATAAATTTTTTTTAAAAATTACGTAAGTCTTTTGGTATTTTAGGTGATGTGAAGAGGAATTGATATAGAAATATCGGAAATATTTCAATGTCATGCTAACTACGAACGCTAAGGAGCAAAATGAATTTTACACTTGAAAACTTCCTAAAATAAACATGTAAAGATTTGCCAAGTGACTGCGAGTTATACCCTTTTAGTTGTTCTACTGTGATGTTTTTTTTAGTTTCCACAGGCCAATACCCAGAGGACGTCAAGACTTGGAGATTATTTCTGGTCATATTGGTATACAGAAATATTTACCTTAGCTTGGATAACAAGCATATATTCTATAATATTTTATCTTTCTATACTGTAACCTATTCCGACTTTTAATCACAGGTAGAAGAAAAACTGTAAAAAAACTTATCCTTCGTTTTAAATAAAGATAAAATGAGTAATTTGTATAGATGGAATTTAGCATACTCTAACTTTTTTTAATGTCTGCTAGACCTATCTATAATGTGGGAAACACTAATAATTCGGGGAGATTTCTGTATCCCGATTTGCGGCAGAATAATCGCCAAGTCTTGGAAACTTTCGGGCAGTGGCCAGCAAGAAACTAAAAAATAACATCACAGAGGTATAACTCATAGTAACCTCCGGGCAAACATCTATATGATTCTTCTTTTTTTTAAAATTGGAAGTTTAAAATCTATTTGGCACCTTGGCGATTGTAGTTGGCGCGACAGATAACGATACGGAAATATCCCTAATATATTTGTGGTTTAATAATGTTATTTACGAGTTAAATGAATTCATACCACTAGAAATTAACTTAATAAATATTTTCTTTAGTGCAATGGATATGAAAAACATATAAAAACCAATATACTGTTTATTCTAACCACAAATGGAGAAAAAGATTCCACAGAGATCGCACCACCATCTAAAATCTTTTTTAATCCTCCATGCCAATGTAAGCATTCAGCAGCTGCATCATCCATAAGTACTAAAGCATCTTTAACATGCTTATTAATTTCAACCCATTGTAATTCAGTTCGATTTGAAAGTTGTCTGGCATACATAGCTCTCAGTAATAATAATACAAGTGTTTATCGAACAGAGTATTTTTTTTTAATATACAGTTTTAAACAAAATAGAAAACAATGATTTTAATTTAAAAACAAATCTAGTAGCATTTTCGTTATTTCGTATTCGTAGCAGCCGAAAGTTCATCGATTAAATTTTCGATTTAAACTCTTTAATCGTTTTTTATTTAATAATTAAAATTATGCAATAAAAGATTCAAATATGCACAGCTGAAATCTTTTATTTTATTGTTTCAAATTTTAAAAGCATTCCTAATTTTCAACATTATGATGACAAAATTAATTCCTTATAATTTCCCGGTTTGAAACAAAAGTAGTTTCAATTTCTTATCAGGCGAATCTGGCAGTAAATTTTGTTTATTATTATTTTGTGCTTGCTAGTCAAAAGAAGAACTTAACTGTAAAGGCTCGCTCAAAGATTCGAAAATAAAAATATTTAATTTATTTGCTTTAAATTTTCTTCCAGATTCTCTCATTTTAATTTTCTAAATCATACAATGTCTGATGAAGAATTACCTAAAGGATGGGAGAAGAGAATGAGTCGATCAACTGGTTTGTTCGTTTAATTTAAGACATTACATTTGGGAAGTGTTAATGTATTTTTTTTTAAATATTTATTTTGCTGTTTTAAATAAAATAGCTCTGGGTTTTAGTTTTTTATTAGCTATAAAATAGAGAAAAAAAATTGTGAATTCACATTTAATTAAAATACTTACAATGATATCATTAAATCACAAAGTCTTAAAATTATAGAGAGATAATTTTCTTGTAGTAATTTTTTCTTTTTTTAAATTTAGAACGTAAATAATACCTGGTGAATAATCTCCTAAAGTTGTGGGTGCACAACCTTTTTCGAAAAAGAGCTGTAGGGGAAAGAAAAAAATTCTTGTACTTGGACAGTACTACCTTTCCTAGGCTCCTCTCCTTCCCCCACTCCACCCCTCTTTTCAAAATATATGCTAAAATTTTCTTGCATACTTTTTTTTACATTTTTATTAATATTCGACATATTATTAATATTTGACATTTTATTAATATTCGACATTTTCATAAAATTTGACAGCATAATACAAGATTTCGTTGAATCCAAAAATCGCAAAAAAGTAATATATAAGATCATAAGATTCTGCAAAATAATTTATTACCGAAAAATATTATATTTTTATTTGTATCTTCATAATTTTGTGCAAAATACACTTGTTGTTTTTAAAGCTAAATTGTTTTGGTCAACAAATTTTTTTTTCTCCCAAGTTTTTCGTAGGCCCCTGAATTTCGTAGGCCCTAGGCACGTGCCTATAGGTTAATACGGCCCTGACTTGGGGGGCCTACAATAGGATTCAGCTCAATTTGTGTAACAATTTATACTTATTTCTAAATGTAATAGCAACAGTTTCAATTTGTCTTTAAAATTTAAGGCAAGTACATTTGATTGTAAGCCACATAAAAATCTGTCTGCAATATTTTTGAATAAAAATATACTTTAAATTTTGATTTCTTTGTTTATAGGAAAAATTAAATTGTAACAAGTTCTTAACCTCCTTAGTAGAAATATTAAATTATTTTATTGTATATAGATTATATATTTCATTTTTTAATAAATTTTTGAACTACATTAATTTCGAACATTTTTTGAATTTTTGTTAAAAGAAATTTTATAAAAGGAAAGATTGAAACAATTTTCTTTTGAAACTAGTATTAGCACTTCTACCTTTTGCAATTATAATGTTATAATCTTGGCATTTTTTTAAAGTTTATTTAAATTATCCAGAAATGATAAGGTATATTTTTTGCTATGTAGTCTAAAAAAGTAAGAAAAAAAAAACCCTGAGTAAAGCACAAATGAAAGTACAAAAATAGACATACTATAGTTTCAGTTCAATAAACAAGAACCATCCTCACTGTTTAAACACTGAAAGTACAGAAATGGACATATTATAAATTTGGTTCTATAAGCTGGAACCATTCTCAATGTCTAAGTATCAAAAAGTATTTGACTAGTATCTACTTCTGTTCTATCATTTGGTATTTAGACACTGAGAAAGGTTCTTGTTTATAGAATCAAAACTATGGTATGTCCATTTCTGTACTTCCATTTGTGATTTATTCACAAGTTTTTTTGCATTAATTATTGTAATTAGTTTCAATGAGTGAAAAATAACTAAAAAATTTTATGATAGTTATGTAGCTTTTTAAATTAATTTTTATCGCACTATAATCTTTCACAAGCCACATTAGGCTACAGGTTGTGTGCCCGTAATTTAAATATTCAATTTTAATAAAAGTTAAAATTACACTCTCAGAAATAAGAAATCTTAATCTAGAAAACTATTTTCTTATATGGTTTAAAAACATAATTAAAGTAAACAATTTTTATTATTTGTAACTAATATTTGTTTCTCTTCTCTTAGTTACTTTTATTTACAATATTAGTATGGCTGAGTAGTTTTCTATAATAAAAATCTAGTTTCTCTACTGGAATTTCACATGTATGTTATTTTATGTATTTTTTGAGAAATGTAATTGATGTTTAAAATTTTACTCTCAATTAATCTAATTTTAATTAAGTGTCAAGTTTTTAATTAATGGCGATAATCATAATTGAATAACTAGTTTGTTGGTTAAAGGTGAGAATAATTTTCGATATAGAAATAGATCTTTTTTTTAATAAGAGTGAGAAGCTTGAAAAATATGTTAAAAAGAGAAAAATCTCAACAATGCATTTTATTTTTATAAATATAAGATTTTTATTTTTAGTTTGTGTGCTATAGAATTTTTGTTAATTTTCTGACTCAAATCTTTTTTTATAACTTTCTTTGCATATTTTTTAATAAATTTCTTCTTAAATTTTAGTAAACTATTAATTTATTTATTGAATTGGAAAATATTTATTGAAGAAAAGATTATATTGAAGAAGACTTTGAAGTATTTATTTTATTTTATCTCCTATTCAAAATCTTTTTTTTTTTTTATTTATTCTTTAATAAATTGTTTTTTACTATATGTATTTGTATAACTTATAATTATTATTTATTTTTTTATTCTACAGTTTTTTTTTCTATTTAATTTTGTGAAAAAATGGTTTATACATGATCATTTTTTAAAACTCTTTCAAATAATTTTCAGTAATAAGTCTTATCAAATGTGAGCATTCAGTTTTGTGTAAGTTTTTAAACTCTTGGAATAGTTTTTAGTAAAGTCAGTTTATCAGCTCCTTGAATTCTAATAATTATTTCAACAAAACTTTAAATGTTGCATAGTGATGTTTAATTGCAGTATTCCTAATTTCTTTTCAAAATGTGCTTGTTGAAGTTTTAAAGCTTAGTTAAAGAAAGCTCAAAGAGACATTCCTAGGGAAAAAAAATTGAGATTTTTGGTACTTTCTAGATCATAAATTTTCAAATATCTAATAGGATGAAGGTAAAAGTAGATTATCTTAAAAATTTTTAAGAGAAGAGTTTCTTTTAGCAGCATAGTAAAATGTCTAAAGTGCAATTAAGACACAATCAGTTTAAATCAATGTTTCACAAAGTATGGTACGCATATCTCCTGGGGTACACGTTCTTATGTGAAATATCTTGCAATAAACGAAAATTACAAAAAAATTTATTTAATATCAAAGCTAGCCATGAAATTACATTTTTTTCTATTAGCTATTTTTTACAGAAGTGTGCAGGTGTCAACAGCCAGTTATGATTTTTAACTTTTGTTCAATTTTTTTATAGTCAAAAATACATTCATTTTTTTATTAGTGGTACACAGCATTATGAAAAATTTAGAAAGGGTGTACAAAAGTTATAAGTTTGGGGAACACTGGTTTAAATGATTGTTGGAGATTAATAGATTTTGCCAATTGAAAGCTTACGGCATAATTTTTTCTTTACAAGTAAGAGCAATGTTTAAACTTTAAAGATCTTTTTCAAAATAAAAGTGTTTATTAAGCTCTTAGTTTAATACAAAACTCCTTTATTATGATATAAAGATATAAATTATTCTTTTTTATATATTCTATTTTAATATATCTTTTTTTCTATTTTGAAGGTCAAGCATACTACTTAAATGTGTATACTAAAGAAAGTCAATGGGATAGACCAACAAAACCAGCTGAACCTGGACCTGGTACTGGAAATTCAGTTGATCAAGTGCGTTGCAGTCATTTGTTGGTTAAGCATAGAGATTCAAGGCGTCCTTCGTCTTGGAGGGAAGAAAATATCACCAGAACCAAAGAAGAAGCATTGAAAATTATTGAAGGTAAAAAAATTACTTATACTGTTTAAACTTAATTTATTTATGTTTATAAAATTATTTTTTGGTTTACACATTTTAGGAACTTATTAGAAGAATATTTAGGAGGATATTTTCATGTTAATTCTCCACTTGAGATAATCAGCTTTAAAATGTGTTTTAAGATCAAAGAGTTGTTGGTAAAAACATTTTTTTTACACCTTAATGAAAGACACGACAACGTAAATTAAAGGTCTATAGCAGGAGTGATATGTTTCTCCTGAATTAAAAAACACTATGTTAGAAATATGTAAATTTCAACCATGGTTGGAAGAAACTTTTTTTTTTTTTTTTTTTTTT